TGGCATTTTAAAATGATATCACACACAGACACATGCGCGCCCCAGCGATGGTTGAACATTGAACACACGGTCGCTGACATACGATGTTACTGCTTTTTTCACACTTTGAATCGTTTTATTTTATGTGCTGTGAAAAGTTTTACATGTTTGAGCTTCACTTCTCTCACTCTCTCATTTTGATTTTTCCCCATAATATACTTCAAAAAAAACAAACATGAAAGGATTCGTATGCAATTCGAGTCGTGTAAAATCAAAAAAATTGCCTTTTATCAACGTGTAAAAATTAGATATGTATACATGGTGAAAATGCTAATAAATGATACGGATGAAGATGAATAAGCATTCGAAAAGGTGACACTATACGGGTGCGGAGAAAGAGTGTATCTTTCACACAAATCGTAAGCTTTTTTCCTCAAGTTTTGTAATTTGTACAAACATTTGCTACAGCTATTGCTCAATGAATGCAAGAACAAGCGAATGTGGGTGAGCGAGAACAAAAATAAAATAAAGTGAGACCGTCGTTTCGATTAAGACGGTGGATAATAAACGATAGCTGAGTGAGTGACGTAAGATGGATGGCTGTAAGTCGAGGCACACGTGAGCTGAAAAATGAGAAAATATTTGCGATTGATAATTTACAAGAATGTCTTGTGTAATCTATACATCCACCTGGGGGGAAAAATCGCTTTTCGGAGACCAGACACAAATGAATCACAAATTATAGATGTGTCTCTTCGTTTTAAATCGCACTCACCTTGACATCCACAGTCATGTCTCTTTGTCTCTATATATCTTCCACTCTCACTCGTTCCGTTTGCTGGGCTGGCTGGTTGGGTGGTTGACTGGCTCGTTCATTCGTTTGTTCTTCCATCCGCTTTACAATGATCATTAATCCATAAAATATTTACTTGCGCTGTTACTTATGTGCATCTCCTATCTACTCAATCATTTTTCGCTATGTTTGCCAGTTCACCAACATTCGAACAAACCAATTTCATTGCTTCAAAAATAACTGGATCGATTCGGCGATGCTGCTTTTGCTAGAGCGAAATTTTTTGCCGTCGTCGCTGTAAATCAATCCAATCAACGCCGGAACAAATATGGATAATTCATGTTTACAACATGAAATCGAAAAATCTACTCCTCTGCAAACAATGTATGCAGAACTGTCTGACGAAAAACGGATGCACATTTCGTTTACTTCGATCATTCATTTGCTTTTTTTCTCGCATTTTTTTTCTTTTTTGTTGTGGCTCTCATCTTCTTCGTTTTCGATGTACATATTTCCTTTTTTGTCTCTGTTCGTGCACTGCTTGCTGCTGCTTCACTCATTCCAATTTGTGTGGAATTTCTTCACTTCCTTTCATGTTTTCCGATTGAACAATCCTGAACCGAACCACTCATGTTGATGTGGGAGTTTTACTACTAATCATGTGTATTTAGAACTGACGTGTAGTGTGCGTTTTGTTTTGATTGCAATGCGTTAATTCCACCATTCAGATGTGCAATTCGCGTGTGATTTTCCAAGTCCCGGTGTGCATTCGACATTCAGCAATCATACGTTTTCGGATGGTTTAGCATCTCGTATTGCTTTGGCATTTCGTATGCAGCGGATATATCCGAGCATACGAAATGCTGGAAGGCCAAACCATCCGAAAACGTATGTTTGACATTCAGTGCGGTGTACGTGCATCATGCATGCTGATGATGATAATACGAGGTATTTTGTGCGTAATTTATCGATTGGGAAGAAAACTATTAAACGGTTATATTTGGTTTTTTTTCGGTGTATTTCCAACCAAATGCTTCGATGTTCCGGTCTGACTTCGGTAATGTGCGCTGCATTCAAGCGAAATTCGGATATCTAATCTATTTTATTGCCGAAACGAATCGATCGACTGAAGGATCTGAAAGAGGCAATATTTTAAGTGCTTCCCCTACGTAACTTTATCATTGAGATTGACTCAAAACTACAAAACGGCATTAGCTGAGTGGTTCCATTAGCCGGAATTATACTATAAACACAACCATTCTATGTAATAATAATAATAAGGTTTTCAATACTGGAAAATAGTTAGGTAAATATAGTCAGAATCATACATACAGACATACCTACTCAAGTGAGCACTCTACAACATGCTTTTGACAACGATGCTAATGCTAACAAACGATTAAATGGTGCTTTTGAATTATTTATGGCTTTATTTTGAAATCATATCGTTTTCTTAATGGGAATTTTATGTAAAATCACATTTGAATAAGCTACAGAATGATACGAGTGCATAATACCGAACATCTTAACTCTTGAACTTTGTGAGATATTTGTAAGTCAATTGAAGTCGAGTGTATGTCTTTGAAATAAGTTCAATAGTACTTTACTTCTCGACTGCTCGGCTGCCCAGCACACGATAACAATGATCGGATGAGGAAGTAAACATACTCATTAAAAGAAAAATAGCTCGACAATTTCAATCCAATGGACATATCAAATTGTAATTTTCCGTCCGTTTTGGCATCATGCCTGTCAATCGGTTAAATTGTTCAATATTTTTTTCTATTAATAACCAACACAAAAAAGTGCCACGTTATCGCTGGTTGCGCCGATGCTATCTCAGTGCGCTTGCCATGTGAACCGGAAAGTCAATGAGTCCATAAAGCATAAGCATTAAAATGAATGCTACAACGATATATGTATGTATGAGTACTATGTATGACCTCGACTCTTGTCGATAAATATGAGATAGAGCGGCCAAAAGTGAAAGAGCCAACAGCAAACTGAAACAGCGGATTGAAAGCGGATAGTGTGTTCGTGAGTCGTTGTTGGCCGGGGTGTTCAACAATGCATGCAAGATGAAATGGAAAATCGACCACAATTCCATACTCAACTACTATTTATGTTCCTAGTTGCGGTTATTTAATATTCATATTCATAATTTTCTTACTACGAAATCGGTTTGGTTAGTGTGAGCGTAAGCGCGAGTGCGAACGCGAAAAACCAACTTATTTTGTTCTTTTTTTAAATACATTTGGGGTGCTTTTAATCCGCGTGGTTGTTTATTTTCGCGTTGCCTGGGCTATTATTAGTGTTCATTGTTTAGCGCGAACAAGAACAAATTTATCGTTCATGTTTAATGCATGACATCCAATTCAATGTGGTATATATGAAATGGTAGCCGGATTTCTGATTTAGTCATTCTCATTTGAATGGCAAGAGTTTGCAAACACAGCACAAAGCACACCACCAATGCCGATATTCCGAATGATTTGGAAAAAGGGGTGAATGTGCGCGCAACAGCCAAAATAATAATAATGTAGACAGTGGAAATACAATGAATAGGTATATAATTTCTAATCAAATCAGAAACAAGAACAGCACCGACAACGACATCATTTTTATTTACATTTTTTCGCATTCGTTTGTGCATTTTTCATTGTGTTTTGCTTGGTGTCGCACACAATTTACAACGACATGGCAAAATGCAGTGATTTTGAATGCGAATCGCTACACAATTACCACTCGTGCTGTTATTATTATAGTGCACACAAAGGCGAATGCTACGAATGTTCGTACGAACGAATAACTGAAATTTATGCATAAGTTTATGTTGTTAAAAGCGATAAAGATAACCACGACGCGAGCAATGCCAAAACGCCATTAAAAATCTACTTTCAAATGGGGAGAAAATATACAAAACAACAAGAAGAAAATACACACACTCACGCAAAACAACAACAAAAACTAGAAAGAATGGCAAAACATAAAATAGAAAAAAAACTGCTGATATTGAGTCAATGGAAAGGATTTCATTTGGCATAGAAAAAACTAGTGTGCACGATTTGTACAATATGGATGTGTGCATTGAATCGTGATGTTTTGCTGCAGTTCACACTATAGCCAAACGGGCCTGGGTGCTAAACAAAACGGAATATTTTAGCGATTAAGCGTAAAATTTATTATTGTCGGTGGTTATGATTGCTTGCGCGAGTGCATTCTCGCGCGTTCAGTGTAATTTGTTCCACTTTTTCTTTGTTTCAGTTGCATTTTCCATTTTTCGCCGTCATAGTTCACCACCCACCCACAATCACTTTGGCCACTGGCTGCGACACTAATTCATATTTCAATGCACTTTATAGCTTTATGATTACCAGCGACTGCGATTTTGGATTGGGATTCAGGGCCAAATCAGTCCACCGTTTGTGTGCGGCTCATAGCACCAATTTCAAATCATCGACCAAGCCAGGCTGTGCCAGTACGATTTCAAACTGCAAACAATATCAATTCGACATTTTGATCTTCTGGCCGTCATCAGTGAGGATTTGGAAACGATCGGACTCGTGCTCCCACATGAACTCGGCGTACATTTTTTTGCTTAAATCTATAAAAGTTCAAGTAATTTCTTTAGTGAATTGATTAGTTTTATTGGCGCCCATTCACATCACTTTAAATCATAAAATGATATGTGTTCGGTTTTTATATCCATCGATTGCAGTGTATTTTAATCAAATTCCGATGCAATATTTACACTGATGGCAAACTGACCTGCCTTTTTCCAAATATAATGTGATTGCTGACACATCACTGTCGCTTGCGCAATTAGGCAAAGCTTTTAAATAAATTTGATGTATGAAGGAGCGATTCCTTGGAATGAAGGGGCATATGTGTGGAAGTCTTTATGCGTGGCGACAATCATTGCGTCTCGCTGGCTCTGGGCGGCTGGAGAATTGTCACTGTGAGTTCACGTCAAGTGTGCTCCTTGTAATAGCTTTATGAATGTCGTTCCATTTTCTGTTGTGCGAGCAAAAATCAAAACAACTTGCCGTAGCCGCCGCTACCGAAGACAACCGATCCGACACGAACGTATCCGTATCGCAACTGACAGCTGCTGTGTGTTCGGCGTTAAACGATGCCGCAAAAATGTTTTCCAACCGCATCAACTGGTTCGTCGCGTATCATTTCGACTGTTGAAAAAATGTTCACACGCTGCCGATTCGTTAGTCGTACCGAGGTTGTCAAGGAGTCAACACAGAGACTGTGCACCATTTCTCCATCGCTACAATCCAATTGGAATTTTACGCTAACACAAGCAAGAATAACAACAAAAAATTGTAAGAAAACCGATTAATTTGTGTGAAACGAAATAAAAACCGAATCATTTGTTGTGAAAAGTAAAAGAAAGTGACTGGTTTGAAAATCGATTGAAAAATTTGACAAATTGAAAAGAAGAAAACGAAAATTGTTTTGGATTTAATCCATTGCGGATATATTTTTTTGTCAATGCGACAAAACCGAGATGATAATTTCAATCCGATTTAGTCGCATCAATAGAACACCATCGGAATTGTGCCAGTGTTTTTGTGAAAACTTTAAACTAGCAAAATACAAAATTGCCAATAATTTATGCACATGAGATATCTGCGTTTGGATAAGAGACGGAGACAGTGCGTTGAAATTTGATCAAAGTTGAATAAATAGTCTCGAGTGCTGTACACCTGTTAGATTAGACAATCAAATGATTGGGTGCCATTGAGAATCTGAGAACATCAACAATTACCGCATTAGGTAATGATCAAAGTGGACATTTGTTGTTTAGCTTCTTTAATTGCTGCTATTTAATCCATCGTAGTAAAGGAATAACACTCTGTCAGCACCCTCACCTGAAAAAACACATAAAAGCAAGTCGGCTGTCCTTGCTTGTATAAATATAATCGAAATATTGCATGTCAGTGTGAATACCGAATTAAAATAAAATCATATTCCCCAGTGCGTCTGAATAACTGGTATTTTGTGGCCAAAAGTAACGATACCGCAGAATTCCTCCCGGGTAATTCATCTCCGAAAATCCAGCCAAATACATACACAAACACACACTGCTAGGTTAATGGCAGTGATGTTGTTTGGCGCAGTGAATTAATCGACAAAAGAAATGCAAACAATGTGGTGAGAATAAAGTTATAAATCAAGAAATTAAATGAAAAGAATAACACAAATGAACAAGAAAAGACCATAAAAACATAACACACTGTAGGAAATCGAGCACGATTTCCGTTTCATTAAATATTCGTCGAAACTTCGAATTACTCGTAATAATATGGTTTAACAAATAAAAATATTAAGAGCACTTAATAACAGACAAGGCCCATCGTTCGATGAACACAGGAAAATTGTTGAATTTCGTGAAACCGGTGAAATAATCGAATATTAGACAAGTTGTGTTGAGACGGCATATTGGTGTTGTTACCTAATTGCTATAATCGAACAAATTGAATGGTTTTTCGAATTTATTGTGATGATTATATGCCGAGTATTGGAATGAAATGAAAACTTTGTTACGTGTGAATCACATCAACTGATCAACTTGATCCCATTTTATTATTAGACGTTTTCCACGAAACTTATTTATTTATTTGGTCATCGATAAACTTGTGCTCATTTTATTGAAAAATCTATTGTGACGCCAGGATTCGTGACTAACGCCGACCAATTACCGTGTTTAAAACCAGCGAAATTGTATCGATTGGTGTGTGTATGATTTGTGTTACTGTGAATTTAGTTGAATTGGTGATGATGACGATAATCATTTGAATCGATTGCCATAGTATTCGATACCAACAAGTATTTGTGTGTATTTAACGCGCGGCATGGTGCTTTGTAGCGTTCCGCATTACCAATTTTAATTGCATAAAAGACCATCATTAATTATTGTCACTCGCACACTGTCGCCGTCATTAGCGGAATAATTCAACCGTTACATAAATATTGTAAAATAAACCAAACGAATGAAATCGATTCGATTGATTTGGTGTTTGATGTATTTGGTCTAGTTCTATTTGAATTTCAAATTAACATTAATTCGGTGGTATTGATATCGAACTAGCCGATTGCACGGTATGCCGTCGGCATCGAAGTTAATCGTTGACTATGAGAGTTTATTTGCTTGGACAAGTGACAACTTTGTGAATTGTTAAGTGACGCACACAGTATTTCAAAGAGAAAACCAGATAATTTTTGGAAGTGGGAGTTGAGTAAACGTTCTATGACACTTCTATCCAGAAGAATTTTGTTGTGCGTATGGTAAATACAATCGAGAAGAGAAATTGTGGTACAAACAATTACCATCGCTCATCTAAACAAATAGTAGTTAATTATTTATCGTGAATTCCAAAGCAGTTTATGTTAGTGATACAATAGCGACGGGCGATTGCCTACTTGTTGTTTTTAATCGAAACAACATTTATCCTGAACAAGTGATACCACAGCAGCAGCCGACCAGATTATATGGACGCCACCATTGGATAGACCTTTAAAAAATACCTCCTCTTTCCAGTTCGACCACTAACAAAAGGGGGTTTAACTTTTTTTTCTCTACATTGAGCCAAGCCAAGCCATTCATCGTGTTTATGGTAAATACGATATCGTTTTATGATAAATTGGCGATCAAATTGTACAAAACAAAATAACGAAAATCGCTTTATTCGGCCTGAGAAGCTGCCAAAAAAAACGAACAAAGTTATTTAATAATTTGTTTTATTATTTAAATTGGTGAAACAAAAAGTGGAGAGTGTTCGTGGAAGGTGAACGGGAAAAAGGGCATTGAAATTTCCATTCATTTTTTTTTTTTGAGTGAAAAACTCCAGTGTCGCATTAAAGGACCGACAAAAAACAGTTCTGATTAAAAAGATATTACCGAGCGTCGATCGAGCACAACGAGAGAAAGAGAGAGAGAGAGTGTTTGTGGAAAAAAGAGAGAGCTGACAGCGTTGGCAAAACCACGCGCCGTTTGAACATTTGTTATTTCACATAATTTTTGGTTTTCGTTGCAGCTGTTTGCTTTTTTTGACATGACAGCGGGCAAAAAGCCAGCATCGAATTCAAACCAACTGACAAAATTGTGAATGGGACGATAAAAAAAAGTTAAAAAAAACATACACAGACAGCCATTGAAGAGCGGGGATCGAGTCTTTGGAATAACTGACAGTGAAAAACAAACGAAAAATAAATTCGTTCAAACAAAAACTGCATTCGAACAAAAGTGGCTGGGTGATTGTTCGTGATTTAATCGGTTTCCATGCGTTTTTCCAATGATAACAACCAACGATGGTTATTTATTATCACTGGTTGGGACATAAAACACCGGAGAACTGCGTTACGGCAACACATCAAGGCATCGATTGTCTCTCAAACCACCATCATTCCAACAACAATACCGTGAACGGGCCCACATTGTCAATTCATTTGCACAAGAACTGTTCAATCGATTACATGGCATTTTGAATAAAACGCACCGCTGACATTGCGACGGTTATATGTACAACAAAAGAGAATATATAAATAAGAAAAATCGAATTCCGTGAAATTTATCGCGATAAAAAAAGGCGAATACAAAAGAAGAATTCACCAAATCAATTCCAAAACGTAAGAACTCGTCGTGAAACTATTGTGTGTCGTTCTGGCGAAGGGAGTGCTGTAGATAATTACATTTTGATTGAATGAATTATATAATGGACTGAATTGTGTTTGTTTGGGTGACGATAGAGAGAAAATCTAAATAGCAATACGATACGCATAAAATTATAATTGAACGCAAGAGAAGAATTGACGAACAAATTCAAATGAACGAATACGCATTGATTAAAATAGTTCAGTGCGATTTATCGCGTGTGTACTAAACATAAACTCTCATTCAATATCAATGGCTTTATTTATGATTTTTCGATTCGACATAGCCGCATATTGATATAAATATTGAATTCATCAAAGTCAAAAGCATACAGCGAACGCGGAAACAAATTCCCATCATTTCCGAAACCGTTTTTTTTTCCTGTTGGTTTGGTTTTATTGTCTGAGAGAAAAATGAGTTCATTACGAAAACAAATAGTGTGGCCGTTTTGAGAATAAACAATGCCGATTGTAATCATCATAGAATATTTAATGAATGGCTCATGCGCCGATTCCCACACCGATATTCTGAAGGCTCCGTTAAATTAGTCAATGGTAAATAATCAAAAAAAAAATAACCCAAAAACCGAAAAAAGACGACGACGACGACGATAACAACGACAAAAAGGAACGTTTACCTAAAGAAGCAAACAAAAAGAGCACAGTCATTTGGCGACGCGTAATCAATCCGACGAAAAACGTCTCAAAAATTATTATTGAACAACACGATCAAAAATATTCGACAAAAATAAACAGTCAACAAGAAGAAGAAGAATGAAAAAAGAAAACTTTGATAAAACCAAGGTGAATTATTCACATCGAAACAAAAGGTGAAATCCAATCATCACAATTGACCGCCGAGAAGGGAACTTTGGCTTGAGATTAATTCATTTTAAATGTTGGGCGTATTTTGTTCGTATCGATTGCGTGAATATTTTACGGCTTTCGAGCAAATTGCTGCGTATACGAAAAGTATGATAATATTCGACCACAGCGTGTGACCTGTATCTGTCATTTTGCATTAAGCCAGATTCATGCGGATCGACCATAACACACGAAAGCGATAAGATAACTTTCAAAGTATACAGACGTTACAAACAAGTGATAGCCAAACTGAAGTAATACCAACAGATCAAAAAATATTTGTGTGTACTAATTGTACGGACTACGAGTTCTAACTCGACATCACTTATTATACCCCCTACGTTTGATAGGAAAAGCCGTAAAACAGTCACACATTTTTTGCTTCAACCCCAAAAAAGAAGCAACATTTCCAAACACAGTGCAATTATAGAATGGATATGGATTATTACATCGGAGCATTCTATATACATTTGGTGCTATTTTTGGCTGCGGGTAAGTACAACAAAACGTAGACATTTTTCCCAATGTAAATAGAGAGACATTCCATTCATATTTATGGGGCAAAGTTTTCTCCGGATAAACGCGCTGCCAGTGTAGTACACGATCGCAACGCGGCAAAGTGTTAATGCCAGGATAATACATTATTTGTCTGCGGCGCAACCGAAAAGCAAACGAAGTTTCAACTTGTAGTTTATGTCCATTAAATACGGTAAGACTGCGCCAATTGGTGAAGAAAATAGTGCAAGTTTAATATTGCTCTTTTTTGAGTTTCCCTCAAATTTTTGGACTTGAAATCAATGCGTTAGTGGTTAGTAAGTATGTGATAGTATGTGTGTCTGCGCAACATTGTATGCAATTCATAAATTTTGGTATTTTATTAGTGGCTAAATCATCGTGGAATCGCTTAAATAAAGTTAACTTATCTGTGGCTCTGTCTCTTACTTTGCCGTTTACTCGGTCGCCAAAAAGTTTTTTTTTGCTTTGCTTCATTCCATTAAGCGAATGGCATTTTTGGTTGAATAAGTATGCGAGCGCATATCCGGAATGATTTGTAGCGCCATTTGCCGTCGGTCGAAAGAAAACCAACCAACCAACCGACCGTTCTACTTTTCTACTTTACGTAGAAAATTTACTCTTTTATTATCCAATTTTCGAGTGGGATTGGTTGAGTCCCGCAAATGCACTGAGCTTTTAATAGATTCGAGAGCTGTGCCATTTTTGGGTGCGAGAATGTCACACGTAATTTGCCATTCGGCGAAACGACTTAAAATTGATGGCTTTCAAAAATGGCTTACGAATTCAGCACCGTAACTAGGTAACAGGTTTTTTTGTTGCTGTTGCGTGTTTTGATTTATGGAAGAGTAATAAGACGATGAGATATTTTTTTGTTTTTTTTTCGTGAAAAAAGATTGGTATGGATTGGTTAGACCCATCCAGTGTTGCTCGTAGTATGGTTGTACATTTCTTAGAAAATAAGATAAGAGCGCAAGTTGGTTCACGTATTTCAATGCTCATTCTTCGCATCGCAGTAAGCTTTTTTCTATATATAGAATGGCACGTGCATGTTAAGCATACTCTCCACAGCTTTTCTACCAGGTTTCATCTGGAAAATAATTTCTATAAACAATAGATGTTCGGGTCAGCTTTTGCTTCAGCATTCGAATACTAAATGTAAAATATACAAAATTCACATTAATGCAACAGCTAACATCATAGTTTTTTTTTCAAGGCGAAAAAGAACAACATGATAGACTTAAAGCGATGGACTTATCAAAGCTGAGCTTCTAAATCGTAGCAGAAATTAAGTTATATCACTATAATCGAAATAAAAATATAGCCCGAAAAACCGCTTAAAACGAACTATCTGCATAAAAGTGCAGAAGAACCATTTTCTTCTCTTGACCATGATTTTTTTATTGCCCGACCGTGTTTCATGCCCAGTGTTATAATACAGTTTACTAAAAAACACCATTAATTCGGAATGGATTTAATAAAACTGGAGCAAAACAAATATAGTAACCCCGAGCGAAGGCACACATTCGACTCGTCGAAGCCGCACATTTTCATTAACACTAAATCTATTTTAATGAATTCAATTACAAAACTTAATCATTTTCAATTCGTTGGAGCGATGTGAATGGAAGTTTTTGTGAAACGTTGCAAAATAGTTGAGTCATGGCGGTGAGTGTTGGAGTGTCATGTGGCCACAATTCTGTGGAAAAATATCGCCTCACCTGACACACTCTCACAGTCACCCATTCACATAATTGGCACAAAAACGGACACTATTTCATGCAACAAATTCATTGGTGCTGTTATTTTTATCTAGTCGCTGTGTGTGTGTGTGTGTGTGTGTGTGTGTGTGTGTGTGTATCCTGGCCGGAGGACAAAAATTATCTAAACAAGCGTATTACTTGAATTGAAATGGAAAACCAGGACGGCCACTCTAATAGAAAGAGTTTGTTGATGATTGTGTTAGCCACAAAAAACTTTGCCCACTGCTACAAAGTGTATGTGTGATTGTGTGTTGGAAAAATTTCAGTTTTGCTCTACGTTGTAGTCTGCCTAGCCTTTTTTTGTCTGTTTCCCTCATTCCAATTCTGTATGAATCCGATCCGGTTCGTTAAGCACTGCTGTTCCATTTGGTTAGAGATGCGTCGCTGATTCTGTTCGGTTGAAAACTTTTCGACAGATATTTCAAAAAAAAGAAGGTATAAAAAAACAATTGTATAACTTGTTTGCTCGTGGCTTCATTTTAAATTCCGCCACAATTGAAAAAGTGGAACAACTCACTTGTTGTATCCCAGTTGCAATATTGTTTTATACAGACAACTCTCTTAAACCTTACACCCGTGCGCCGGAAGATACACAACAATAGCGTTAATTTTCTGTTAAATCATTTCTTTTTCATGGAAAGCACATTCCGAACACAAGCAAAAAATTAACTTCGCCCAACACAAATGAATGCCCCTACTCAATTGAAACTGTGTAACAGACAATGTTGTCTGTAATAATTTGTGCTCATTTCAGATGATGATTTAAGTCATGTTAATTTTCAATAAAGTAATTGGACGAGATTGTAGTTGAGCAGTTTGGCTAAAATTTATTGCCGCACAAATTAAAACAAGATATACAAAAGTTCAACGTTCTTTTTCCTTCGAATGATGAATCGATGTTTTCCATGATATTCGTGATGTCTCTGCTTACTCACGGTTAATCCTTTCGTGCGCATAAATTTTCAAACAAAACAATTTAAGTGTCTACACAATAAAATGCTTTCTGGTTTATTTTCGGGCGAAAAATTCGGTTCGATGAAATCATTGGATCGATATAAATAATGAAAGAAAAATGCTTTGTCAAAGTCTGCACCCAAGCGAAAGATATGAATCTAATAGAAAAATTTTATACTTCCACTGTTTGGATATCGGTGGTTGATTGGCTAGCCCAATCACTAACATAATTTTCGTGCAGGGACATAAAAAATGCTATCAGTATCGTTTTTAATGTTGCCACCACTAAAGCATCCGGGGCCTAGAAAATAATGATATGGAGAAACCACGACCGCTGATAACGAATTTGATATATATTTCGTCTATGCACGCAACCAATTGGTTTGTTGTCTGTCACGCTACTGATGCTGATGCTGCTGTTCGAATGTAGTGCTCTCGCTCGCTCGCAGATCTCGCTCTTTTTATTGTTTTCGCCGCGCAAATTCACAAACTCGTGCATAAGAAATGAAAGCCACGACCATGGCGATTATCAGAGGATTAAATTAAAACAGAAATACAGAAAAAGACAAATTATAGTGATTTTACGGAATCGTTCATATGAATTACACTGCACATTTCGAAAACAAATGACCTTCGGCCTTCCTCAATAGGATTATTTTGTAAGCCACTGCCTCAACTCGATCATGCCCGAATGAAAAAAAACGAGCTCACCACACGATAGATGTGCCTTTTAATATTCACTGTTCTCTCTGTGGTCATGTGAGTGGTTCCATTTTGCCCTTCTTTTTTCTCTCGTACACAGAGAAAAAATATTGGAATAAATATTTAACGAGAAACATTTTTTTTTTTTCAAATAAATAGAACCATTTCAAGTGCTCGAGGTTGAATTGAGAAAATGCAAACATGGAAACAAAATCAACCCCAATTCAATTCAATTTCAGAATCAAAAACAGAAATCGAATAAAAACACTAGAAAATCATGAAAATAACACACACTGTTGGTCTGCTCAAACCATCACCCAATTTTTCGTATTGCTGAATGCTGTTTCAATAGTTTTTCCGTCGAAAAAAGAAAACACCATTCCCAAAAGCATTGGTTTTAAGCGGTCAAAACTGAATGCCAATCCATCATGCATCGCCAATTATGAAGAATATTCAAGATATTGAAGGAAAAAAATTTCACTCGATTTCAATATCGGCGAAAAGTAACATCGTAATTCAATTAAAGCATTTCGTTCACTGCTTGTTTTAATTTCAACTCGCTCAAAATTAATTGTAATTGACTGACATCTTCTGCACCAAATGGATGGGTTATTCAACGAAATTGGATAGAAAAAATATTGAACTGAATAACGCTTCGTTAGTTTTTTCGGGAAACGCTTTTCTTTTCCATCGATTGCTTTTGTCATTGCTGTTTGAATTCATCGATGACATTCGTGATAACGATAGAAATATTACGTCAATTTTCGACATGGTTGGTTGGATATTATTACGTGATCATGATTTTTTAAACAGAGAAGAGAAAAAATGTTTTTGGTTTACTTAATACACAGTAAACACAATGATTCTAGCAATGTTGAGATTTGACACTTGACTTTGTTTTAGTACCATTTGCTCTAGAAAAAGTTCAAAAGTTCTGATATAAATACATGAAGCTTTGATATGTGATTCAGTACATTTTGAACTTTTTCTAGTACAAATGGTACTTAAATGGATTTTAGCGCCAAATTTCATATTGCGGTTCTAAAAGTTAGAACCAACGTGTTTACTGTGTAAAATCAACAAAACTTTCTTTTGCCTTCCCTGAGAGACGGAGCAAAGGCATAGGAAGATGAAAAGATTCGAAGAATTTACTTGTGAAATGCGTAATCCAAGCGGTTCATGGAAGGGCTCCAACATCATTTTAAATGCATAAAAAAGATACAAAGTAACTACGTGCCCAATGGTGCACATGTGAGCATCGAGCCAGGGGTTCGGGGCTCGCTTCATACAGTCGACATACATAATATATTTGCGCAAAATGCTATTAATTTAGAATTGGCAGAAAATTTCATTTTAATGTGTCATAAATTATTCAAGCCGAAATCCGCGCCCAGTTCATCAGCCCGAACAAAGTGAAACCCAGCTTTATGTGTGTAATATTTTAATTCCTATGAAGGAGTTTATCGGCCCACTGTTGCTGTGGAGCGTGTGAGTGAGTGAGTAAAAAAATGTTTTTTTCCTCTATGTATCCTAGCAGTTGGCACGGTTGCCAGTGAACCG